GGATAACCACGTGGTAGCTTATCTGGTTAATATCTTGTGATGTCGTGCACCGGGCACACGCAGCCAAGGTCCATGATAGGGACCGGCGAAAAGGCTGTTTGTGTAAAGGGGTACATACATATTAGTTGTTGCCAACTGAGAGCGATCTATTAAATAAAACTAATTAAAGATGATGAACTGTGAGGAGTGTTGCTGTGCACCCTACATTCACGGGCAAGTTTCAACGGGCTTTCACGGGGTGGAGGACGTGCTGTAATCTAATTGCCCCCCTGATTCTAAGTGGTGGGGCCCATTGTAATTAACTAAATCACAGTCATTAATCTTCAATTAGCCCGTAAAACCTCCGTGAAGTCCCCGTGCATGTAGCACTACTCCAACGACACTCATGTTGTCGTACATCCACGTGAAGGAGTGCTGGTCTCGTGCTGGCCCAAGGGGTTCAAGCAGTACGACCATGGGCAGTAGGCCGTAAGTCTGGTCCAAGGGGCGATGACATGGTGGGAGCTGCGTTGCCCGTGAGTCCGTGTCCGAGTTGAGGCAAGTTGTTACTATATCACTCGCACACCTCTATGGGTGACAGGTGGCATTAGTTTCCCTAATCACATTAGCACACCTCCGGTTGCTTCCGATTTAGCGAGAACGGAAATACATGGGTTGAACGTTGGTTCCATGGTTTTTGAGCACGATAAGTTACACCCGTATGATCGGCCACGAGGCTGTAATCGTAGCAAGTTCACAGTGCATCATGTTAAGTTATTGTTGGCGTGTGATACGCCCACACAATCGAGATCAGACGCCATCACGCTGTATCACGGTCCTAAATTAGTGGTACTAGTACTCCCTCCGTCCGAAAATACTTGTCATCAAAATGAATAAAAAGGAATGTATCTAGAACTAATATACATCTAGATACATCCCCTTCTATTCATTTTGATGACAAGTATTTCCGGACGGAGGGAGTACATACTACTTTGTGATGTGTAGAAAAAAGTGGATGCAGTACATCTTGCTTTTATCCGAGTCGATATACATATCATAATTAAGTTTGCTGAATTACAAAGCGCATCCGTGTCCGCGGTTCACGAGTCACTGTCACCCCTTATTAATAGTTTGCCAATGGATGCATAAATATAGGCGTAGTGGTTCTTGAGAGGGTTGAGGTGGGACACAATTTTTATGTGCCTTCTCTCGGTGTTCCTTCTCGGCACCTGAGTTGTGGACCGAGGCCATGGCGCTGCTCGAAGCGTCTCTCCGTGACATCGCCACGTCCATCGACCTCACGCCTTGGCTTGTTCCCGGAACTGTGTCGAGATCCAGCTCGATTTGGCCAATGTTGACACCCAGCTCCTCTCGAATGAAATCGATCCTGGCGGTGATATCATTTGCCTAGCATCTCGCGCACGGCCTTGACCCATGCCCTCCTGGTGATCCTTGTTTGTTCGCTCCATGTTGTCCGAGAGATCGCCCTTTGGGAGATCTTAGATAGCATTTGCCTCTGGTGTGAGCTCGTCTATCGTCTGCTCATGCCAGCGATATCTGAATCGGGTGTTGTGACAATGCGTTGAAAAGACCCCGGCTTCTCTCTCAGACTGCGCTCACGGGGGGAATTGATTGGGTCTAGGAATGACATCACAGATTGATTATCAATGACACTATAATGTAGCTGCAATTATCCACGCAACCACCCTCGCAGCCAGTTTGTTCATACACGGACAGATGATTTTGAATTTGCTTTTAACTAGCTGCCTAGCCTCCGTTCCGAGCAACTTCCGTAGGATATAAACTGCAACCGTTTTATAAAGCACTGATTCTTTTTCTTATGAACCGAGGTGACTAGTGGCTCACTAGTTTTGGTACCGACCCTGCACCGACAATACTTTCCTATTTTCTAGCGACACGACCGACGACCAAACTAGCCAGCTGGTAGTACGATTCTACTCGGATGACTACAGTTTTCACGTGATCCCGTGAACCATAAATAATTGCCTTTTGAGTCGTTTGTCCGCACCCCGTGGTGTGCAAAGCAGCCTCAAATCATTGATGTTGGACGAATCGGCAAGGGATATGATGAGGTTGATTGATCATGTAGGAGTACGTGCCAACGATGCCAGCTAATTTTAGTGTTACGGTTGCAACTCCGCTTCACTATAGGGGTACTATGAGGGCACTCCAACTGCCCCGGACATGCTTCACTAGAGCAGTGTTAATCACTAAATACGTTGGTCCCTAAACCCTTAATTAGCATGTGTCATCTAGCCATACGACAACATTGTAACTGTACCTCACATACAAAGTGTCATGTGCTTATACGTACTCCCTTCCATTTTATTTACTTCGCATATATTATATTTGACCTAAGTCAAATCTTATAGACTTTATAGGAACCAATATAAGTCTTCATAATAACAAGTATATATAATACGGAAATATATTCAATGACCATTCTAATGGTATTGCTTTGGTATTGTGAATATCAATACTTCTCTATATAAACATGGTTGAAGTTTACAAATTTTGACTTGAGACAAAACAAACATGCAGAGTAAATAAAAACAAAGAAAGTACATAGTCGCGACTGCATAGCCTTGCACTTTTGTTTGCTAAGTTTCACTGTATGCATGTCTCGTACGCGACCATGTATTTCTGAACGAAAATGTAGTGCTGAAAGTTCCTAAAATTAGTTGTAATCACATGTTAGTATAACATGGACGTTGCATGCATGGAAGGCAGCCGTCGTCATCGGATGGAGAAGACAGGAAGTTTCGTCCATACAAATCACGCTGATGTCTTGACAGAAGGTACTGATTGGTTTTGTACTACTCCTATCCACTAGTATATGTGAATGTTAAGCCGTCACATTCCCTCGAGAATGGCAGTCTCAATCAGTCAGTTAGTTGATGGGATATTAATTGCAGGGAAGAGGAGGAAGAGGAAAAATCTGATAGACCTCTCTGGCTTTGGTTGTTTATAAGTTTTTTTCCTTGCAGAAAGGAGGTTAAGCGGTAGCCTAGTACATCATCGGAAAAACTAACGCCCACACGTGTGGGCGTTTGCACATCGTCCACACGCCTTCATCACCATTCATTTTGCAACGTATAAACAGTTGACATCAGCAAAAATCTTTTTTATTTTTATCCGTTTTCACCATTAAATCTGTCTCGACGAGATCTTCAAAACTAGACCCCATTTTGGTATGTTTCACGAAAATTTTTTTACCCAAAAGTTGCCATGACGTTTACACTGTAGTTGTCATGGTGCTTAAAATAAAGTTGCCATGTGGCAATTTTAGTTTGTAGATCATGACAATTTTACTTTTTGATGATGGCAATTCCAGTACTTTGATCATGAAAATATTTTTTTGCATGAACCATGGCAATTTTAAGTGCATGTATCATGACAATTTTAGTTTATGGTGCATGAAAAATCTAGTTTCTTAATTCTCCATTTTGTAATATGTCAAAATTTACTTTTAAATATAGAAGAAAATAGCTGAAACATAACATGCCAACTTTAGTGTAAACATCATGGCAATTCATGTGCAATAGACATGACAACTTTTAACCAAAAAAAATTTCATCGAAATATATTGATATGAGATCTAGTTTTGAAGATCTCGTCGCGAGGTTCATTTAAGAGATAAAACATTTTAAAACTGAAAATTCAAAAAGATTTTCACATGCATGCATGCGGTGACATGGATAGTCTGTATGTTATAGGCCGTGTGGGCGGGTTTGGCTCCCACCACACGTATGAGCGTTAGCGTTGTCCTACATCATTGGATGCACACAATTGTCTATCTTAGAGTAGACTATAGCAACAACAAAAAAAAGTACAAAGTGAAAACAAGGCCCGCAAACCGACATATGGTTTGATGGTTAGAAAGACAATGGTATCCCTAGCCCACCAAGGTTCAAGTCCTAGACTTGACATTGGTGCTCGTATTATTGGCGATGTTCGCTCAGTGGGAGGAGATATTTCCGTTGACTGCGAAACATCTATGGTGACTTCGTAAAATCTCGGGATGCTGAGGTGCTCATAGGGGTAGGATATGCGTGCGTGCGTTCAAGGGGATGAGTGTATGCTTGTATATGTGAGCGACTTTAATTATATTGTGTAAAAAAGGGTGAAAACAAGGCCCCACACAATAACCGGCCACAATAAAATTAGGATTATATTATATTTTATTTTGTGGGTGAAGATTAAGATTATATATGGCTCAAACAGACAATTTATTAAACCGTCGTCAAAACCAGTTAAACGCATATCACATGCTACCGTCTCTCATGTTTCACAGACGGGGCGCTGCTTCGGTTCCTTAAGGCACCTGCCTTTGGGTCTATGACAGATGGGCCTAACAGGTGGCTGGCCCACCTGTCATAGACCCAAAGATAGGTGCCTTTAAGGCACGGAAGCTCAATCCTTCATGGACTGCAACCAAAGGTCATATAGGCACTTGATTCTTCACACGTTGCAGAAAAAACCACGTATAGATCCATCCCGTATTATGATCCATGTGCTATACTGCTCCAAAGTCCAAACTAGCTAACATATATTACCTAGAATCATGGCTGTGATTTGATATATAGAAATCCAGAAACAAATGTTTCATCTCGCCATTACTTGAACACGATACACCACCAAACACATGATTGAACTAGAGACATGCCACACATACGTTTGCCAGCATGCATGTGAGAGTAGATATAGCTAGAGACATTGTTAAGTACGTCACACTCACTCATTGAATCGGAAACATGAAAGAAAGCATCGAGACAGAGTTTGAAAAGTAGTCCACGGAGCTTCACTGATTGCTCCCTCTCTTGCAAGCTGTTGATCGGATCACATCCGTCCATCCATAAAAAATTCTATCATACGCTGCCAGAGTACGCAGAACAACCTTGAGAATGCATGCATGTTAAAACCATGCATCGAGATAGAACTTGGCCTATAAATGCAGCTCCCCTTTCCTCCCAGTTCTCATCAGTCCCTTGCCGAACAACATGTCTTCTTCTTCTTCTACCCGGGTCTCTCAGCTGGGCGCCGCCGGCTTGTTGGCGGCGCTTCTGGCGGCCGTCTGCCTCCTCCACGCCGGCGGGGCAGCGGCGGCGGAGCTGTGCGTGGACTACTACGACTGCACGTGCCCGGACGCGTACAAGATCGTGCAGGGAGTGCTGATGGAGGCGCACCAGTCGGACCCTCGCATCTTCGCCAGCCTGATCCGCCTCCACTTCCACGACTGCTTCGTGCAGGGCTGCGACGGCTCGCTGCTGCTGGACACCTTCGACGGGATGGAGTCGGAGAAGGACGCGCGGCCCAACAACGGGTCGGCGCGCGGCTTCGAGGTCGTCGACGCCGCCAAGGCCGCCCTCGAGGACGCCTGCCCCGGCGTCGTCTCCTGCGCCGACATCCTCGCCATCGCCGCCGAGATCTCCGTCGAGCTGGTACGTACTACGTGTGCTAGCTACTGCTCCCTAGTCTCGTAGCACAGTGATTGAACTGAACAAACGGGTGCATGAGCATGATTGGTGGGTAGGTTCGACGTAGCTTTCGGGGTGCATGCATGAATTGACGCCTCGTGTGTCATCTGTCGGTGCGTCCAAGTACAAGGACACATCGATCACGCATGCATGCAAACCGTACGAGCAAGCAAGTCGATGATAAGAATGACTTCTAATTAACTTGGCACGCATGAATGTACCATATACAGTCAGGAGGACCCGGGTGGAACGTGTTGCTGGGGAGGCTGGACAGCTTCACGTCCAGCAAAGCCGACGCCGAGAACCTACCAGGCCCCTTCGACGGCCTCGACGTGCTCAGAGCCAAGTTCCGGAACGCCACGCTCGATGACACTACCGACCTCGTCGCCCTCTCAGGTAACCAGACTCGCTCACATGTACATATAAAATGTCTAAAGGGCAAAGTTTTAAATAACGCGCTAAGCGGAGGACCTCTTCTAAATACTATAACGGTGCTATAGCGTGCTATTTAAAATGTTTGGTCATGTCTTTGGACAAACAAAGACCCTTAGCACAGGACCTCTTTTAAACGCTATAGCTTTAAAACCCTGCTAAAGAGATGGTATATATTAGCTTTGACTCTGTTGACCAAATGTCTCTAGGTGGCCACACTTTCGGCCGCGTGCAGTGTCAGTTCGTCACGGGCCGGCTGTACAACTTCAGCGGGACGAACCAGCCCGACCCGACCCTCGACGCGACATACCGAGCCTTCCTGTCACAGAGATGCCCGAGGAACGGCGACGGAACGTCCCTGAACGACCTCGACCCGACCACGCCCGACAACTTCGACAAGAACTACTTCACCAACCTCGAGGTGAACCGCGGCTTCCTTCAGTCCGACCAGGAGCTCAAGTCGGACCCCGGCGCGGCGGGGACGACGGCGCCGATCGTCGATCGGTTCGCAGGCAGCCAGGAGGCCTTCTTCAGTAGCTTCGTCACTTCTATGATCAAGATGGGGAACATTAGGCCCATAACCGATCCCTCCCAGGGAGAAGTCCGGAACCGCTGCGCGTTTGTCAATTCAAATTAGCGGGCAGGGGGGAGACCACCTACGTGTGGGTATACGCAAATGTGGCATGGTCACGGATGCAAGGATGAATTCATCTCTTGTCGTCTGGTGTAATAATTGGTTTATGTGTCAACCAATGTAAACATTTCATGCATGCTTGTTCTCTGACGTGGTATAAAGTGAAAATTTTATTCCGGGGTTTCTGTTGCTTTTTTTATCACCACTAGTTAATTGCCCGTGCGTTGCAACGGGGGCAAGGGCAAAGCCAGAATTGCACCAAGCCCCCGGCCCCAAGGTTGCTAGAGTGTCACTGTGGTGTCAAATAGTGCCCATGGTGCTATAGTCATCTATGGATTTTTTTTCCCACGCCCAGGGCGCAAGAGTACAATGTTGGGATGTTTCCTTAAGCTTCATTTAATTGTCATATTCTTTGTTTAGTATAGTTTATCCAAAATTATTCTTCAATGGAATCCTATTTCATATCATTATTGTTAAAAAATTGTACTAAAAATTGAACAAAGATTATTAAAGTTATTTTCATGAACCAAATAAATGCATAGTCGTCTTACAGAACTGGTAAATAGACTGCACTGAAAAATAAGGAAATTCTTAATTAAACATTTCTTACAGATTTATGAGTACACTGAAAAGTTCCCTCTGATCACAATGTCGTTGTACCAGCCAACCTCCTCCACTTTCGGACTCACTGCCGATGATCCATATCCCTCTGTTCGTATTTCATGAAAATAAGTACATAGAGATCATGTTTACCTTCTTCAAATGGATGCATTAAATAGAAAAATATTTATTTAAAACAAATGTCAAAGTCATGATTTAACCATGCTACATGCACAAAAGAATGAAACTTCTCTCTCTAATACGAACAAATAATACATAGATATGTTTCTCAATAAAAACACAGAAAATTTATCTTGCTGCAGAAGGTGAATTATTGTTTCCTGATGATTGCCACCCCGGTGGAGTTCCATACAATTGCAAGGGAAAAACACAAGATTCTTCACTGTGAAACTCATGAGCTAGTTGTGGAGCAGTTCTAGCAGGAGTCTATATGGTTGACAATTCTTAATAGTACACGAAGCATAATGACTACAAATTTTCTATTGATCAGGTGCAGTGAACGGCACATCCTGCAGTGTCCCGGTGTGAGGAGGGAGATTGAGATGAGTGTAACAGGGGGAAGAATTTTACTGCACGCAGGAGCTGCCCGACTTCTCAAGCAGTTTGCGATCCTGGTAGATATCGCCGTTGCCGAAGCTTTCGCCGCATCGCAACTGCATACTGCCGGCCATGAGCACCCATGTTCTGAGACGATGTCCATTGTCCGCCTAAACGACTGGACGGGCCTGCTTCCTTGGTAGGCGACGAACTGCGAGTACGATCGATCGTGGAGAGAAGAACGAAAGTGGTAGACCACATAGATGGCGGCGGCGAGGGAAGGAGAACCGGCGAGGAAGAGGATCGACTGCTTTGGGCCCGGGATTGATTACCATCGATTGCATGATGCGTTACCAAAGAAGAGGCTGATTACCCCAGGTGAATTAATTGTGTTGCCTAAGATTGAAAACCAGGAGGGAAGGAAAATGGGGGCAGGGGGAGGTAAACCGGGGAGGGGTGGGGATACCGTAAGGGGAGAGAAGGACCAAAGGGTTGGACGCAATTTTTGACGTAAGATGGGAAACGGAACACTCCGTTTCTTTTAAGTAGTAGAGATTACTTAAGGACAACACTAACGCCCACACGTGTTGTGGGAGTCAAACCCGCTCACACGTCCTATAACACGCAGACTGCGCCCACATCACCGCATGCATGCATGTGGAAATCTTTTTGAATTTTCAGTTTTTAAAATGTTTTATCTTTTAAACGGAAAATCTGATTGAATATCCGTATTCACCATTAAATTCCTCATGACGAGATCTTCAAAACTTGATCTCATATCAATATATTTCGATGAATTTTTTGGGGTTGAAAGTTGTCTTGTCTATTGCATATGAATTGCCATGATGTTAACACTAAAGTTGTCATGATATATTTCATATATTTTCTTCTACATTTAAAAGTAAATTTTAACATATTATAAAATGGGGAATTAAGAAACTAGACTTGCCATGAACCATAAAGTAAAATTGCCATGATACACGCACTTAAAATTGCCATGGTTTATACAAAAAATAATTTTCATGGTCAAAGTACTGGAATTGCCATCCTCAAAAAACTAAAATTGCCATGCTCTACAAACTAAAATTACCACATGCAACTTTAGTTTAAGCATTATGGCAACTACGGTGTAAACATCATGTCAACTTTTGGGGAAAAAAATTTCGTCGAAACATATCAACATGGGGTCCAGTTTTGAAGATCTCGTCGAGACGGATTTAATGATGAAAAGGGATTTTTAATTCGATTGTTTAATTAGGAGATAAAACATTTTTAAGCCGAAACCAAAAAGATTTCTGCTGATGTCATTTGTTCATACGTGGCAAAATGAGTGGTGATGAAGGCGTGTGAGCGATGTGCAAGATGCCACACGTGTGGATGTTAGTTTTTTCGTTACTTAAAGCATGAGAGATTTGCCAAGTTAGTTTTTTTTTAGACAAAGTTAGTTAGCAGAACTGGTTGAAAATTGACACACCATGGGCCAAGCCCACTCTTGTCAAGGGCGACATAGCAAACACCACAACAAACATCAACCGTACATACAGAGACTTGTTTTTTTAACACAGTACAGACGTAAACGCTCATATACACACACATATACTCACTCCTATGAATGCACACACCCACACATCCGACCCCATGAGCACCTCCGAGAGACTGAGCGGGCATATCATCTTGAAATTTACGAAGATACCGTAGGCACCTCGTCATCGACGGAAACGCCTCCTCCTACTGAATGCGCAACGCCGGAAATCCTGGAATAAATCTAGGAATAAATGCGAGCACCAGAATTTGAACCCTGGTGGGCTGGGGATATTGGGGAACGCAGTAATTTTAAAAAAATTCCTAGGAACACGCAAGATCTATCTAGGTGATGCATAGCAACGAGGGGAAGAGTGTGTCCACGTACCCTCGTAGACCGAAAGTGGAAGCGTTAAGTAACGCGGTTGATGTAGTCGAATGTCTTCACGATCCAACCGATCAAGTACCGAACGCACTGCACCTCCACGATCTGCACACGTTCAGCTCGGTGACGTCCCTCGAACTCTAGATCCAGCTGAGGCCGAGGGAGAGTTTCGTCAGCACGACGGCGTGGTGACAATGATGATGAAGTTACCGGAGTAGGGCTTCGCCTAAGCACTACGAGGATATGACCGAGGTGGAAAACTGTGGAGGGGGGCACCGCACACAGCTAAAAATCAGCTTGTGTGTCTATGGGGTGCCCCCCTCCCCCGTATATAAAGAAGGAGAGGAGGGGGCTGGCCGGCCAGAAGAGACACACCCAAGGGGGGGAGTCCTACTCCAAGTAGGAGTAGGTTTCCCCCTTTCCTAGTCCAACTACAAGGAGAAGGAAGGAGAGGGAGAGGGAGAGGGAAAGAGGGGCCGCGCCCCCTCCCCTTGTCCTATTCGGACTCCCCTTGGTGGGGGGGGGGCGCCACCTCCTGGTGCGGCCCTCTCTCTCCCCTATAGGCCCAGTAAGGCCCATTACTTCCTGGGGGGTTCCGGTAACCCTCTAGCACTCCGGTATTATCTGAACGAAAAAGCTATTTTCCTGCCGACTGACAGTTAGCGATAGGCACGTACGATCCCGTTCCCCGCGTGATTTTTTTTCGTTTGCAAATCCCTTCCGTCCCCCCGCGCGATCTTTTTTTTTGTTCGCAAATCCCTTCCGTTCCCCCGCACGATCTTTTTTTTTGTTCGCAAATCCCTTCCATTCCCCGCGCGATCCCTCTTTTTTCTGCGCGAGAAAAAAGTTGCTACAACGGAGGCTCAAACTCGGGTTGTCTACTGCTACCACAAAGAGGTTAGCCAACTGCCCTAGCACTACTTATTGTGTACTTGAACGCAACTGAACTTTTTTATCCTTCTGTATTACGCATTGGGAAAAAGCACTATATCTTTTCATTTTTCATTTTTCACTAGTGCGTCACGTACTAACTATAGTGGGAGAGGCATACATGTTTACATCAATTTTAAATACATTTTAAAAAAGTGTTTCACAAGGGGAATAAACTGATGATTTAAGCACTGCCGATCTGACAAATTACGTATAAACAATGTGGTAGTTTTGACCGGGGAAAAAGTTGTTGACAACACACCTTGAATTTTTTTTGTAAATAACATGATAATTTATAAAAGGTGGACCAGATAACTTACGTACCCAGGGCCTGGTAATTTTTTATCAAGGAATTCTTTTTGTCGAAACATACCCCCTTAACTTCTATGTAAATAGCATGGTAATTCACACACCACCGACTTGATAACTTGCATAAAAACATCATGGTAACTTCCATCCGAAAAAATTATAAACATACTCCCGGTAATTTTTTGTGTAAATACCATAGCATGCCAGCCCGGCCCGCAAGCCTTGAAACAGTTAACTACCAAACATTATGTTTTCCGATAGTCCTGATCGACTCGACATCTGTTGGGTGAGTTGCTCGCGGTTGCTATGGAGCTCCCAACTGTCCGTCACCCCGGGGAACCTGCTATTCAACTATGCATGCATCACCATCACCGCTCGCGCATCCTGACAACTTCTGTAATAAGTAGTATGATAACAGGCACTTCGCATATTCGATAACTTAAGTATAAACACCACATAACTTTAACCAAAGGAAAAGGTTGTTATAACCAAAGTAACTTTAACCCACAGGGTTAAAAAGTTGCCCGAGTAACTTTATATGTAAATAGCATAATAATTTACGAACCGTAAACATGATAACTAACATACAAATATCGTGATAACTTTGACCCCAAGAAAAAAGTTGTCGAAAACAACCTCCCCCTTTTAAATTTTTGTGTTAATTGCATGATAATTTAGTCATCGCAGTTCCGGTAACTTG